TGTGTACTATAACGTAAGATAGGTTGAACGAAAACATCAGTTGACTGTGGTAGAGTGGAAACAGGTTCAGCTGAACGTACTGCGTTTGTAAGGTTGCCCCAGAAAGAGTTTAGCTCCTTGAAGAGTTTGAAGGATACACAAATTCTCATGAAAGTCGGAGTTTTGTTGTGCCACACTATATCCAACGTCGACTTCACTGAATTGGGAGTACCGACGAGTGTAAGAGCATTGGTCCGCCGTGAAATGTGTATAGCTGTCAGTGAAATTGCCCTACCAATCCATTAGCTTGTGGATGGCTGGTTGCCGTTCGTAATTGTGTGATTATTAGTAGTGAAGCAAGGCAACGATAAAGTCTGGATTCGAACTGAGGTGATAGTTGAGGGTCAGCCGGCCTTCGACGCATCGCTCGACAAAGGTGCGCGTCACTATTTCAGCAATAATGTTCTAAATAGACACTGCCTCTGGTCATCCTGTGAGATGGTCTATACACGTTAAGAGGTAAGGCCATCCACTTAGATCTGGTAGGGGTCTTTCCAAATCAAAACGAACAAGGTCGAAACGAAATTCGGGAGTTTTTAGGAAAGCCCAAGGGACATTTGTTGCGTCAATCACCCTGGATTTCCGGCGGTTTACATAAGAGCATGCTCATTCTTTCACGTCTTTATTCATATCAGGCCAGCAAAGTCGTTCTGCGATGAGCTTAGTGACTGCTCAAACACCTGGATTGTAAAGTCTGTTCAACGTGTTGAGGACGTTGCGTCGATAATGCTTCAGCACGATCAAGCGATCCGTACCTGTGGAGGTATGACAGCAAAGTGTCCTTGCCCTTTTCCATTTTTTTTAAGCCGTAGTTACAGAGTTGTAGAAGATCACTTGTGGTAAAGATCAGTGTTTTATTTTTGAAGCTAAATAATTCTTAAGTCCATCATGTGGTCGAATTCGTTTTCGGCCTACTTCAGCTTTACGAGAGCTACTCAACGTGGTTTTGAAAATACGGATGGTCTTTTGATCATGATGTGGTGTGCAACATTGCTGGTCACGTATTGTAACATTGACCGCGTTTTTAAAATTTTGGGTTATTGTCGAGTATCCGTTTATAGTATGGGTTGATTATGTGCTTGACAGTGACTAAAGACAATCTACAACCAAAAAATGAAGTTGCTAACCTACTTCTGAGTTTGTCGATGAGCAGATTATTGTGTTGTAGCAGGTTTATACCAATAGTTGGCATGAAAACACTTGCAACAACGAAGATCCAGTGGGTGGGTTGGCATTAACCAATGTTAAGGTACACATATTGCTTACCATGTGTGGCGATCAATCATCAGAATTCGCTGAAAGAACGCTAACGTCTGTGTCAGCGTCGACCAGGTAACAAACTTTCTCAGTTACATCAGTGATGTATGACAGACGGATATGTTTGCCGCCTTCGGTTGCCGTTAACGCACGCCGGCTGGGAAGTTTCCCGAAACGTTTTTCGTGTTTATTGGTTTGGGATAGGAAAGTTGACGAGTTTTTTGCAATTTCGAGATTTTTCATACTGATTATGATATCCGCACCAACCAGGGTTAACAACCTACCACGATCTATGGACTGACCATTTTCGTGAATAACTCCTTAGAGGAGTTTGGGAGCGTCTACGGTCATGATGGATATTAGGGTGACGTGTCAAAGTAGGACAGAGTTCTGAGACATGATTTCTTTTCGTTTGAGGCTTTTTAAGACTGAATACACCCTGGTCTTAGAGGTCCTAGTGACCTCTAGAATACTGTCGGCAGATGAAGCCAGCTCGTCTACAGCGTTGTTTTGAAATGAGGCAAACACTGTCTGCACGGGTAGGGAGAACTTAGACAGGAAGAGCTGTTAAAAAGGCCTTCGTCAAACGTCCTTTGACAAATGACCTCAATGAAACGTAACAACATTTCGGTTACTGAGTCATGTCGAATTTCGATGTTGTGGAACAGTTGGTCTAACCCTCAATGTGTCATAAGGTTCCGAAACATAACCAGTAAACGTACTGGATATGATGTACCTGCTGAAATCAAGCGGTAGTGCCTTCAACACTGCGAGTAATTGTGCATGTGGATCTGTCACATAGTGCCCATGGAAGTTAGCTTCTGCATGGCAGAACCAGACTTCTATATTATCTGACGACAGTGGCATGAACTGAAATACGCGGGGCGAAGGTGGTTTAATCTTAAGTAGATTAGGTGTATGTTCCGTTACGATGGAGATAAGATATTCCAGTGTGCGAGAAAAAATATCCGAAAATATAAAAAACAATAATACCATGTGTAAAAATAAGGTTAAAAAGTGATATCTAGTGCTCAAAAAAGGAACAGATTCACAGTTTATTGTTTGATGTGTCAGATTACGTCGGTTTCATCACTAAAGACGTCACAGGTATTAGGAGTTTCGCAGTGATTTTACACGTAGCATCTTCATAATCGAAGAATATCAACTCAGCCAAACCAGAAGTCAGAAATGAAGGGGCTCGAAGATATATTTGAAAGTCTATCTTTATGTCGAGAAGTGTTTGGTCTAAGCTGGTTAATCGTTGCAAGGAATGTGTAGCATGCCGTGCTTGTTGGCACGGCTTCCAAGAATTACAGCGGAGCCTTCAGAGGCCGTTACTGCACCGAAGAGTTTCCATCCAACCAGAATGTGGTGAGGCTTTCTAGAATACCAACGTGGCATGATACCATTGGACAGTGGCATAACATGTCTCTGTGCGAATCGGCTGAATGATAATGTTGATATAACATTCGCTGATATTTATGAACACCCATGATTTTCTGTACATTTTGATTCCTACCCAGCAAACACTTCTCCAGCTTTCTTCTGTCTTCTGATTTGCGACTGTGGGGGTTCCATACGTTTGAGTGCCGTAGTTGTTCACCGTAATCTGCTTTAATCAAGTAGCGAATATAACAGTACTCACTTATGATCTGGTGCGGGTGCATGACCGAGCTCTTTTAGTTAGGTGTATCCAGTAAAACTAGTGAGGTTAGCATCAATTCCGAAGACTTATAGAGCTGTTCATTTTGGAGATATATTTACCGCTACAATATTTTCGGTCTGAATTGTATAATGATATCACCTAGTTAACACAAAAATAGTATTTTAGGTCATACCAGTCAGATAATTAAATATGAAAAGAAACAAGCTGTATAACTGTATACTTGAAATGCGCTGTCATCACTTGTTTCTCTTCGTACCTCAATTTTTCCACTCGTTAAGATGCAGCCGGGTTATATTGTGAATTATTACCACAATTTAAAAAGAATAATTTTATTGAGGTTGAGACTGATGGAATCTCACAACAACATATAGGCGTTCCCGTAATCCCATAACAAACATAGGTCCTCACAAGACTACGGTTACCCCATGATGTTAAGTTTCAACTATTGTGAAACTAAAACATGAGGTTTCCTGGAGACCAACCACCTAATATTTGAATATGGTGAGCCCAATGTCGAGTCACTTGCACTAACATCCACATTGCAACTTAATCAGTAGAATTCGTTTAGTACTAAAAAGCTTTGCAAATTCGACATCACTCACTACTTTGTGATAAATTAATTATATGCCTTTGTATGTACTACATTCATCTACATATATCACATGACACATCTTAGTAAAAGAAGAAAATTAAACGAAAATTTAGATTCACACTGATGTTTACTACTGACAATGTACAAAAAATATATTTGAAGTAGATACAGAAATTGATTGTGAAATCACAACTTGTCGCTTTCACTATAATCATGTAAAGATATGGGAGAATGAAGAAAAAATTATTCATTCATTGCTTCTTGCAGATAATTTCATCAAACTGTTAAGTTACAACTGGATCTTTGAATTTAATATGATTACTATTGTTGAAATTAATTGATAATTTGTCTTCATTTATGCACAACTAAGATGAAATGAATTAATATTGTAGACATTTATGGTGGTCAAAGTTTTTATTGAAGAAGAAATTATTGTTAATGTATTTGAAACGTGACTCTCTTAACGGCCAGTGAATATATATATGAACATATACTGGAATTCAAGATCAAATGGAAAAAAGTGAGTTAACCTAAGCAATTATGAACGATTCCTACTTGTCAAGAATAATCGATTATTTGAGCATAAATACAGTATACTGTCACCGTGATCTGTCATTTGTATTAAAAATCTATAGGGCTCACTCAATTGTTATTCACATGAACTTAGTCCACAAACATGGACGTCAAAACCATCGATAACGACTATTGTATCTGACCAGCACCTTTCCAGAGCAAACCGTTAAGTTTTCCGTAGGAATTATCTCCAAATATATCTCATCCGCGGTCAGTGAAGATGTAGGCCAAAAAGGTGTTGGGGCAGCAGCGTATATTATTATTTCTCTAAGTTCATGCTGTCCCATCGAGGATAACACATAAACAACTATCGATAAGAATACAGTCAATAAGTATCTGGACTGTTTTCAGACTTAAAGCTATACCTACAAAGCCAAGACCATGCGAAATTCCTGTCGCGTCTTCAGATACACGCTCTAGGTCTCCATACAGGCTAAGAGAATTCAAATGAGTTAATGTGATAGAATCTTGTATTTGTGTTACGAAGAAACATTACACAAGCATCGGAAAAGACTCTCGTATCTTAGTTAGTAATCCCTGTCGTCCGGTTTGACACATGATCCAGAGATTAAAAAATCCAAAATATTATTCTGAAGAATGGTTTCACGTTTCAAAAACTTGCATCGTTAGTTCTGGTGACGAATGTAGAGGTTGAAAACAAAAGATGAAGATTGATGGTGAGAATGACAGTAATATTTAGAGATGAAAATGAGGTTCACACTTATGCCTATCTTAAATTCAGTGTGACATAATTTTAACGCTCTTCAGTGTATCATAAAATAAATCAGCATACATTTAACGAATAAACTACCAACAATCGTTTATGAACTTTACCTACTTTGAAATATCTCTCTTTTTAACATAATAATAAGTTTAAACAGCAACAGATATCCAATAAATGAGACCATTATATAATGAGTGTGCTTTTATAATTGTGTAATTAGAAGTCCAATAACCATCTATGTTAAAACGAGATTCAGCAATTTCCAGTAAATTAAAGCTAATTTGAAAAGGAATAAGAAAATACGAACATTATTAAATGATTGATGAATGCCTATGTTAATCTGCCTTCAAGGATTCGAAATAATTAAACTTATACTAAAAAGAGATTTTTACAGAGTCAGCTGTGCACAAAAAAGTAAAAAGTAAATAAATTACATAAATCAACAGAATAAGCGAAATGTATAAATCACTAGTAAGACGACCAATGTACTAGAAATAATTAAAATAATAAAAGCTTGAAGTAATGTGGTAATTATTTTTGAAGTCGAAATAGATCTTTCAGTAAACTTAGTCAAATCGTACATTAAAGTTGTGATCTCTTCACGTCTTTGATGGTAAACAAGCTTACTGTCTACTTGATCGATTCGACAGACCATGGCTTCTCATTACAATATCACGAAATCTATTTCACAAGGTTTCACTTTTGGATACTCGGTTATGCTATGTTAAAGCGATTGCGAGTACACTTAGTCTGCGAACGAACACAGACTTGTGACCAAAGAACAATAAACTAGCTGTTCTGTTGCGTCCCAGCCCCGCTAACTAGAGAGAAATCGAAGTCCGAACAGCGAAGCATATTCCGTAAAAAACCAAAAGAACGAGCGATAACAATAAACACTAATCAAAGCGTATATATACAGCACAAAACCATCATTGGGAAGCGTTACAAAATAGAATACTAAAAGACACAACGGACCAATAGCATTTAAAATTCTCCCAAGTGGGAAATACGACTTGAAGGTGAAAAAAAGCACTTTTGGCGCGAAAAAAAGAAATACAAATTTTCCAAGTGAGTTCTGGAGATCTAACGTCCCTAACAGGTGATTATCCACTTTTGTATTTGAGGTGATTCACTTGTTTGAGAATATTTAACAGTATGGACAGATAATGTATCAACCACATGATATCGTTCTCGTCAAGAGACCTTTAAGCTAATGATTCAGTCTTATTTGAAGTCATAAATTCTGTCTGAAATTTAAATGTGATCAATCACCCTTCCATAGACTTCACGTTAGAAATGGAACGAGACCAATCAATCCCTTTTCTCGATGTACGTCTGATGAAAAAGAGTAATGGTTCTTTAAAAAGATCCATCTTTAAAAAACAAACATGGAATGGCCAGCTAACCAACTACTATAGCTGGGCTACGTTAAGTAGGAAGAGAAACCTTATCCATTCTTTATGCTATCGAATACATCAGATATGCAGTACGGAATGCATTAACGAAGAACTCGTATTCCTCAAGAAAACCTTGACGGAAAGTAGTTACCGAGAACGGTTCATAGAAAAGAATATGAATAGAAATATTTACGACAAGAATTCTAGTTGTTCCGTTCCGAAGAAAACCTTTATATAAGTCTGGAATTTAAAGGTGATCGAAGTCGTGATTCAAAAGATATAAAAAAGTCTAAGGAAAAGAGATCATCCTACAAACAAAATGCCAACACACCGCCTTTGATTAGGTTCATTTCGTGAATCCCTTTTATGCCTCAGCATAATGTAGCGACCGATTTCCTCTGGATAGCGCACAATACTGTAGTTGTGATAGATGATTCTCTTATAAAAATCATCATCTTCTCCTCCCCATCCAAAGTAAACATTTGAAAAACCACCAACTTTCTCGAATTGTTGACGACTGATGGCAATTACACCTTTAAAATTTTCCTGATAAATCAGTCTTGAAATATAAAAGGTTGTAAAGAAAACAAAACACTAACCAGAAAATCAAACGAATAATCAACAGTAAATCTTGAAATCATTTTCACAATGTTTGACTAGGATCATATTTGGGGACAATTTAGGGGTATTTCAACTTCTATCTAAACAGTGATTCATTGACTGGTAAGCAGTAGGTTGGCAGTCATATTTGTCTTGTAGTCATAATAGTCAACATTGGAACGCTTGATCAAGTTAAAAAGAGATGTTTTTGGTTATTCGTATTATCTTCATTGATAAGTCTTAACTGTTACTGAATTTCTGATTGTTATTCTTTAAATTAACCAACTGTCCTAACAACTCAGTTACGTTGCTTACAATACTGAAAGTTTAAACAACTTAGCAATTAGTCGTAGCGCTGTAAAAGTGATTGAATCTTTATCAGCTAGAGTTGTGGGATTTGTGTAACATATAAGTTGGTTACCTCCCACCTTCTATACAGTGGTTAATAAGTTGGGGATAAGTTGATAAAAGAGTGAATTAGAGTGCTAATGAAGATATGGTATTATCCTCATAAATTACCAGCTGTTATTTTGACCTGTACCAGAAAGTGCAAACTTCGTTTTTTAAGTCTTCAAAATAGCAATATTCCATGGTACATAAATACATGTAATAAGAGTATAATTAATCGCGTTAGATAAATGATGGTAGTCACCAGAGAAACCTACACCTACGTTGCTTGTTATTAGGTACTCGACAGAATATACTTCGAAAATTGAGGGAAATCACGTTCCCAGTGAGATTACAATTACAATCAATCACTTTTACAGTTTGAGATATTATCATTGAACTTCTCAAACCGCAAATTTCCTGCTTCAAAAGCAAGATATTTAGGCTAATTCATCCCTCACTGGTTACCCAAGTCATATTAGTCTAGTCCCCATTATTAATTTTTACTGTCGATTACCTCTAACCACCTATTATCTAATCATAGTGTACACGATGTCGAGCCACTCACGCTAGAAGCATTTTTCAACCGAATGGGATGAATTTGATATGCAGTAAGTAACTAGATAATTATAATATTGGATACCACTCATTAATTGATCAATTTTAAATAAGCAACCATCATGTCGCCGTTTGATCAATTTCAGAAATTCACTTGTATTCCCTAAATTATTGTTCATTTACCTACAAAAACCAACAAGTCCATACATGAGAATCAGAGAAGTGATCCGGATAAGAACATCACAAATTTGAATCAATTATCAGTCAGAATGAATATATTATCATTGAAACTCTAAAGATCTTTTACCCACTGATAATTATATTGATCTATTGAAACACTTAAATGTCTTGGTTGTTCAGAACATCGATACATATTTCTATCATCTTCTGGCAATAAATCCACATCGTGAAATATGAAACAATCGAAATATGCAACTCGATGGGATTCAATGAATCCGATATTCAGTAGTAATGCGCGATTAAACTTAGATGCACCTTCCTGAAAAGCAGCTATACAAAATCACTATGTATCATGAAAAGAAATACAAATTTCAGTACACTTTAGCAAAATTAAAACGACAGTTCATTGGTATATTACGAAATTTTAATATGTGTTAAGCAGTACTCAGTAAAATTCTGGTAATACATATAGGTATAAAAATATTGGGGATAGTGATACACGATTTAACTCCGCCTGTAGTCCCTCCGGGGATTACTGCCGGTCCTAAGCCCGGATAAAGGAGGATGGTTGGGCATGGGGTTAGTGACCCTATCCCGTAGAAAACTAACTCGCTAAAAAACGCTAACCAGAAAAAATTATTCAAACCTTTTAAACTCTGCCCTGGGACTCAGAAGGTCTTCATTTAGAAGAGTTATGACGCCTCCTGATGAAAGCCGAGTTCCTTCGGAAGTCACGAGGCAGATGCCCCTTCTGACAACTCGAGCAACCATTTATTTAGGTACATGGAATGTTCGTACAATGTGGGACACCTTGAGAGCCTTCCAAATTGCTGCAGAAATGAGGAGATACAACCTAGAGGTGCTTCGGATCAGTGAAACACATTGGACGCAAGTTGGACAACAACGACTAACTTCAGAGGAGCTTCTGCTATACTCTGGCCATGATGAAGAAAATGCCCCACATACACAAGGAATCGCATTGATGCTGTCCAAACAAGCACAAAATGCACTTATAGGATGGGAATCTCATGGACCAAGGATCATCAAAGCCTCCTTCAAAACAAAGAAAGAGGGCATTTCAATGAACGTCATCCAATGCTATGCACCTACCAACGACTACAATGAAGACGCTAAAGATCAGTTCTACAATAGGCTGCAGTCAATCATCGAGAAGTGCCTAACAAAGGACCTGACCATTCTGATGGGAGACTTCAATGTCAAGGTTGGAACGGTCAACACTGGATATGAAGACATCATGGGACGACACGGACTGGGAGAAAGGAACGAAAATGGTAAGAGATTTGTAAACCTATATGCCTTCAATAAAGTGGTCATGGGCGGCACCATATTCCCATATAAGCGCATTCACAAAAGCACGTGGATTTCACCGGATCACACCACGCAAAACCAAATCGACCATATTTGCATCAATAAAACGTTCAGGAGGACTAAAGAGGACGTGAGAACCAAGAGAGGAGCTGATATAGCATCAGATCATCACTTGCTGGTCGCCAAGATGAAACTGAAACTCAAGAAACACTGAACAACGGGGCGGACAATATCACAAAAGTTCAATACGGCCTTTCTTCAGGATACTGACAAACTCAACAAATTCAAGACAGACCTTAGCAACAAGTTCCAGGCCTTTCATGATCTACTCAATGGAGAAGGAACTACTATGGAGAGCAACTGGAAGGGGATCAAAGAGGCAACCACTTCAACATGCCATGAGGTTCTGGGCCACAAGGAGCACCATCACAAGGAATGGATCACTGTTGATACACTGGATAAGATTCAAGAAAGGAGGAACAAGAAGGTAGCAATCAATAACAGCCGAACAAGAGCAGAAAAAGCCAGGGCACAAGCTTGATACACAGAAGTTAACAAGCAAGTGAGGAGGAGCATCAGAACTGACAAACGTAAATATGTGGAAGATTTAGCAACGACGGCGGAGAAGGCTCCAAGAGAAGGGAACATGAGACAACTGTATGACACGACAAAGAAACTCTCTGGAAATCACCGTAAACCAGAACGACTAGTGAAAAGTAAGGAAGGCAAGGTATTCACCAACATTGAAGAACATCGAAACAGGTGGGTAGAACGCTTCAAATAATTCTTAAATCGACCAGCCCCACTGAAACCACTCAATATCGAAGCAGCAGCCACAGACCTCCCAATCGATGTTGGCCCACCAACAATTGAAGAAATCATCACGGTCACTAGAAAAATCAAGAGTGGCAAAGCAGAAGGATCAGATAACATTCCAGCAGACGCACTGAAAGCGGACGTAGCAGTAACTACAAAGATATTCCATATTCTCTTCAATAAGATTTGGGATAAGGAACAAGTACCAACAGACTGGAAAGAAGGACTTCTGGTTAAGATATCAAAGAAAGGCGATCTCAGCAACTGTGATAACTACAGGGGCATCACTCTTCTCTCAATACCAAGAAAAGTCTTCAGCAGGGTATTGTTAAACAGAATGAAGGACTTCGTAGACGCCCAACTTTGAGACCAACAGGCAGAATTCCGTAAGTTTAGATCGTGTACAGACCAAATCACAACTCTATGGATCATTGTAGAACAATCAATTGAATGGAATTCATCACTCTATATCAACTTCATTGACTACGAAAAAGCATTTGATAGCGTGGACAGAACAACGCTATGGAGGCTTCTTCGATACTACGGCGTGCCTCAGAAGATAGCCAATATCATACAGAACTCATATGATGGATTACACTGCAAAATCGTGCATGGAGGACAGTTCACGAAGTCGTTCGAAGTAAAGACCGGAGAAGACGACCAGTATAGCAGCAGCCTCAGCAGCAGTAGGTCTCAACATACACAAAGGGAAAAGGAAGATTCTCCTATACAACACAGCATGCACCAATCCAGTCACACTTGACGGAGAAGATTTGGAAGATGTAAAATCCTTTACATATCTGGGCAATTTCATCGATGAACACGGTGGATCTGGTGCAGATGTGAAGGCGCGGATCGGAAAAATAAGAGCGGCATATTTACAAATGAAGGACATATGAAACTTAAAACAACTGTCAACCAACACCAAGGTCAGAATTCTCAATACAAATGTCAAGACAGTTCTACTGTATGGGGCGGAAACCTGGAGGGCTACGAAAGCCATCATCCAGAAGATACAAGTGTTTATTAACAGTTGTCTACGTAAAATACTTCGGATCCATTGGTCAGATACTATTAGCATCAACCTACTGTGGGAGAGAACAAACCAGATCCCAAGGAGAGAGAAATCAAGAAGAAGCGCTAGAAGTGGATAGGACACACATTGAGGAAAGCACTCAACTGTGTCACAAGACAAACCCTCACATGGAATCCTGAAGGCCAAAGGAAAAGAGGAAGACAAAAGAACACATTAGGCCGGGAAATGGAGACAGACATGAGAAAAATGAACAAGAATTGGATAGAACTAGAAAAGAAGTCCCAGGATAGAGTGGATTGGAGAATGCTGGTCGGCGGCCTATGCTCCACTGGGAGTAACAGGCGTAAGCAAGTAAGTAATACACGATTTATTCCAAATATCGGTGTTTGTATGTTCAGTGTATGGCAGGAATAGTAAGTCAAAGTGGGCATGCAATCTACTCGAACTTGAAAACGTCATTGTATCGGATACTTAATCATAATAAAAACAAAAACGTCAAGTGTTACATCATTAAAGTGAAAACTAAAAACATCTCAAGTAATTTATACGAATATTCGTCAAGATTAGAACGAACAGTTTGACAGAAATTGGGCGCCGAGTATAGAGAAGCCATTATATGTGAAAATTATATTTGAAATAATCTCATGTAATATTACTTGAAAAGAGGAATTAGCTAGAAAGAATAGCCAGTGCAGTTGAGTATTTGTAATTTAGTCTCCCGTTTGCTTATCCAAAACATGAGAATCCTTCATTGACTTGAAAATCACAGTTACTTGAACTGAAGTAGTAACGGAAAAGTATCACTTTTTTATCTATTGGTTATCAATGGGAATAATAATTTGAAAACAGCATGATAAATAGACTTTTTCGATCGTTAACTTAATGTTATCTAAATATCATAATGTTGTATTAAGTAAACTCACAACCTAAAATCTATTTCAATTATAAATAATTCACTTGATAGTGTTTGTTTGTATTTTCCTATTATTATTATTATTATTATTATTATTATTATTAAGGACTGCATTCGATCAGTCTCTTATTGGCATATATGCATCCTGTGCGGGCTGCCTCGATATTGCTTCAAGTCACTAGCTTTATCAGCAAAGTCGGATGATGTTTGGCAGTGGAATCTAGGACGCGCGTTTTGTCCTATTTTGGACTCGTCTGCTGGATGTAGCTGCACCCCAGAGTTGATGCTCTTTCAGGGACTCGAACCCAGTACCAAGCAAACAATACCAAGTGAATTTAAACTTCACCCCATTGCACAAGCAAGTTGGCTGTTAGGAATTAGTAGCTAAGTGGATAACACGATGACGTTTGAAGCAAACTTTACTGGGTTGAATTTCAGATTGGACATCAACCCCGAGGTGCAAGTACATCCAGTTGACGAGTCCCAAATAGGACGAAACGCGTGTCCTGAATACCATTACTAGCCACTATCCAACTTTGCTTATAAATTATAAATAATGTTTCTATGTTTTAGACTAAATGACCTTTATCAGATCTTTCGTAAAATCTAATACATTTGAAACAAAACAATATTTGCAAATCTAATCCTAATTGGTTTTAGCAAAGGGAGAATTATAATGTTTTTTTTAAATACAGAATCATAATGTATCCATCGTAAATAGTTACATTCTTTCCAGTTGCATAGAACTGAATAGGTAAAATTAATTTAAGATAACAACAAATGTGAAAATTAGAAATGAAGTTGTTCATCAGTGAATAAATAGAGTTTATAGTAGATGACAATATATTATGACTTAAGCTGGAAAATTCTAATGAATATTATATGTGTAATAAAAATACTAGTTTTGAAATGTAGTCCAAAGCGATTGTTTTCTATATTACAATGAAAAGTGAAAATAGCATGAACTTAAAAGCTTACAAACTACAATAAAAGTAAGTTAATAATCAATTTCTGGTCAATTTTGTCATCCAATCATGTGAATAACTTCTATGAGGTTAAGGAGTGAACAAACTAATATCATGCATTCAATGAGTTCGACAATGTCTTTTGTTTTAATTTATGAAGGGAAGTAATAACCGAATTTTATAAAGAATTTTTTTCAGGCTATCAAATATTTTTCTGATAGAGAAAATGAATCGATCGATGTTAGGCCACCATTGAGAACCTGGAAGCACTGGACAGGCCGTTTCGTCCTAGTATGGGACACCTTAACAGTGCGCATCTACGATCCCGCACGCGGGATTCGAACTTAGGTTTTTTTATCTTGCTTAATGTATAAACCACTGAGCCAGTATCCAACGATGTTAATGTCTAGCTTCAACCGCTATACCGATAAATACCATGTGCTCACTAGTAACTGGCTTCGTGAAGGAATTCTCGGAGTTCCAGTGAGAAGCCGTGGCCAGTGGAGCTAATCCATGTCAGGTAGAGACAGGTATCTAATTCAGAGAATGGAAGGTGCCCGCGCAATTTCATGAACTACTTGACATTAGACATTAACACCGTTGGATACCGGCTCAGTAGCCTAGAGGTTAAACGAGACCGATGAGGAGTTAGAGTCTCGTGTGCGGGATTGTGAATACGCACTGTTAAGGTGTACCATACTAGGACGAGACGGCCTGCCCAGTGCTTTCAGGTTTTAAAAAATAGTCTAACATTAATTGATTCATGATCTCAGTTAAAATCTTGACAATCTTCACAACATAATAGTTTCGTTTAATAGATAGTATTAGAATAACTAGGAAGTGAATCACAAAAAATTAAAATCTTACTCATTAAAAATGATGAAATCATCTGTTTAGTCGGTGAAATTATCACGTGACATCATGAACTATATGGTGAAATTGAAATCTTAGCTATTTTCTGCTAGTTATTCAATAATATTGTAGTAAACGAGAACACCAATGAGGGCAAACAAATATCTTAGTGAAATCTGAGAACCATAAAATAAATACTTCGTTTGCAAAATGTCAATCAATTGTTTCAAACGTCATTGTTCCTTCGTTTTCACACCAATCATCCTTTGTTCTGTTTCTCTTTAATTCGATCTTCCTAACTTTCTCTTGCCAGGTATTTCACTTTCGATTGATCATACATACTACTTATATTTGTCGACATCAGTAGCACACAACACAATATCATAGTCTAGTCAATCAATCTTTTTGAAAGAAACAATCTTATAATTTTCAATCGGAAGTAACTCTAACAAATGCAAAACCTAGAACTATCAAGTAATGAAGGAAAGAACAAATTCTTGATAAGAATAAATATTTTCATGAAGTATAAAACGTAACTGATAGTAAAAATCATACTCATAAACAATAATATATATTGAACAAATCATATATGTCTTTATAACATACAAGCTTACTTGGTTGATCACAAATATCGTATACATTAATTGTTGTCTTCTCAAAAATTCATGCATATGTTTTACAAACAGACGTAAATGTACATCTCGATTTCGATAAGGAACAATGATAGCCAATTTTTCATCTGGTTTACAGTCAGTCGGACCCCAAAGTCCAACATCCCTTTTTGACATATTATTAGGCTTTATTAATTTAAAAAACGTTTTACGAACCGAAGTTGTCGATGATGTTATATCAGTTGACAAAGTATATAATCGTACTAAATCAGACCATGTTGGTGCTTCTATGGTGATGTTTCTACGTCCAACTAAAGAGTTAGTGTGAAAAAAAATAGTAAAAGATTTAAAACAAACTTAAAATCATCAATATTCGTGGCAAAAAACTTGGTCAATTGATTTATTTTAAAGTAAGCACTATCACTAGAGAGAGAGAGAGGGAGGGAGCGAGAGAATGCCAAATTTCTTCATACATCTATGAAATGCATGTAGACAGTTTACATTAGAAAGTAGACAATATCTATTACCAGTAATGAATCAATTGTGATTTCATTGTAGATCAAATAGATATTCAGTCGTAGAAGTTAAATTATTAATGATAAGCTTAGTTGTTCAATTTCTGTAAAACAAAAGATTATTTTCAATAATAACTAGAATACATATAGTAGTTAAATTATTACAAATTAAATGACTAAATATATAAATTCATAGATTAATAAATTATTATCATTGCTTACTTGGATTCCGAATATATTTTGGACATTCCTATAATAAGAATATATTATCAACAACAACAACAACAAATAACGGTAGATGAATGATTAAGGAGCATATAACAAACAAACTGTAATAATGAATATAATGTTGGTATTTAAAATAATTTACACTGTTAATAAAGATTGCATAAACATAAGGGATACGGGCCATCATTTCTAAAAGTTGTTTGTTTATTAAATAGTTAAATAATTTAATTGGCAGTTCGATTAGAACAATAAATGTTAAAGGTTATCAGTTCTAATTTACAAATTCATTTTATCAATAATCGACTTTTAAAACAGAGTTCATATATATAAATATATATATAAACTTTGTGGATTAGCTGGTTGGATGCCAGCCGGCTCAGTTGTCTAGTGGTTAAGCGCTCGTACATGAGAGTGATAGGTCCTGGATTCGAATCCCGCGTGTCGGAGTCATGGATGTGCACTGCTGAGGAGCTCAAAAATAGAACGAAACGATCGTCCGGTGTTTCTAGTTTTCCATAGTGGTCTAGTTTCAATTGACTCATGATCTCAACTATTGAAATATATATATGAATTACGAACCAAAAGTAGCGTTAGCTATCACCAAGATCTATAGTCGATTAAAGAAAAACTGAAAACCTATTGTGGAGCTCCTCAGCAGTGCACATCCACGATCCAGTCTCGCGCGCGAACATTTAACCTGTAGGACCACTTAGCAGGCAACCAGCGGTGTTAATGTTTAACTTCAAATAATCCACGAAATTGAACGACACATCCACCAAAAGAAAAATAATGCATAAACTTTATATCAGGCAAGGATTTTTCAGTAGTGTGCAAATACAACACTGTATGGTATACAAATGAAGATTACATAACTAGCAAGATACTCTAGGATCACTGTGTTAGAATTCAATGATATACATTCCTAAGTTAAGTGAACTCATGGTATAGAGTGAAAATTATTCAAATACAATTTGGATTTCCACAATGAGAAGATATAAATTCATAAATATCATACTTATTGAATAAGGTGTATGGCGTTACAAATTCTAACCGAAGTGTATAATGTTCAAATTTTAATGCGAGTATCGAGATCTGAATCTAAGTGATAATATTAAACGTATAACTTGTATCTGACTTCTAGTTGCAAGCAATGTCGAAATATTCATTCAAAAAAAGTCATAAATCAACGGAGAATAATTATCTACATTCAATAATTAAAAACTAGAAAACCCATTAAGTGATAATGAACTCCTGTGATAAATATTTTTACATAAATGTCCCTCATGTGGAATTGTGAGTGCACACTAATGAGGATACCCATACTAGAACAACACGGTAACCCAGTACTTTCACGTTTTCAATGGTAGTGGTCTAGCTTAAGTCGACTCATAAATTCAACTATTAGAAAAGTAAATTTATTTATTTTTCAAATATTTATTTGGATATATTAGCTGAAAACGATTTTGTTAAGAAAAATTTCTGGTTCATTTCTTAATGATTATGTTTAAATATATATTCTCAGATAATGTAATAATAATATGGTTAAGCTAACATTAATAATACCATTTCAAACATGATCAAATTACCAATGTTGGCCTGCTTGAAAATCTGGGTTACCTATTCCTGCCATCTAGATATTTCAATAAGTTATCTAGTTTTGTTTATTTTATTACAACATTATGGCTATTAATCATATAACTTACTCAGTTACTTTTCTGGAGACTGTACAACCTTCTGTTGCACAAGTTACAAAAGGACTAATCAGAGATATTGTGGTTGCTGACAATATGTATACAACAAAAAGAATTTACATTATTCAGATGTCGATTGACTGGACTACTATATTCTAACTGGCTATCACTCAATATTTATCGTCAGGATCGACCAAGAAGTATGAAACGGAAACTTGTTGAAATACTTTGTGCTGAGAATTCTATAGTGTACCAAAAATATATTACTGAATAAAGCTAATAATAAAGCTTCCCACTCATTTCTTGATGATAATTTCTAAATGCATATTCTCAGATAGTGTAATAATAGTAAGGTTAGACTAATATTAAGAGGTCTTGAGTTTCAATCCTGTGAGGCGGGATCGTGGACGCACATTGCTGACGAGTCCCACACTGGGACGAAACGACCGTCCAGTGCTTCCGGGTTTTCATTGGTGGTCTAGTTTCAATTGTCTCATGAACTGAACTATTAAGAAACTGATAATAATAATAGTAATAGGAAATTACATATTTTTCCTTAAATCATTAAAATTCAGTTAATTAACTAAATATTATTTCACTAGTAGAAATCATGAGTCAATTAAAGCTAGATCACCATGGTAAACCTCAAAACACTGAATGGCCGTTTCGTCCTATTGCGGGACTCCTCGACAGCGCACATCCACGATCCTGTCTCATGAGATTCGTACTCAGAACTTACCCGAATGCTTAATCTCTAGTAGTATGATAAATTAAAGATAAATTATTATTCAAATATTATACAATAACTTACAGGAATAAATTTTTCTAAATTTTCAATTGGAATATTTGAAAAAAACCGTATTGAATAATTATCAATAGTTTTTACATAAAACTGAAAAGCCATATTCCATAAGCTAATTATTATGATACATAGAAGTAAAATAGATAGCCATTTATTACAAATTCTCTCTTTTAATTTCATTATTATATGTATACATCCCACTTTGTATATAAAAGTTTATGTATAGATTTTGATTCAATGAATCTAAGAGAGAAAATATAATTCAATTGAATTGATTATCTGAATATTCTTTCTTTGAGTGTGACACATATAATAAGGAACATGTTAGTCGCCGACCGGATAGCTTAGTGTTAACATCTTTGATTGTGAAACTAGGTGACAAGAGATCGAGTCCGTCAAGGAGCACCAATTCCCTCAAGATTACGGGTACACCTTGTTGACAAGTGCCAAGTAGCACGAAACCTAGGTTCACGGTTTCCTGTTGGCTACCTTCAACCACTATCTTATCTCAAAATAGTGCACGTAATGTCAAGTCACATAGACCGGCAACATTGTAACTTGATCGATAGTATTCGATCTGTACTAAGAAGGATCTGACATACATGAGATTAATCATCACCCAGTGATCAATTAATTGTAAGTACATCTCAGTCCTACAGGATCTCAGTCGCAGCCCGGACAGCTCAATGGTAACATCTTTGACTGTGAAGCTGGGTGACAGGAGACCGAATCCGTCAGGGAATTACAGGTACATGTTTCTGACGAGTGCCAAGTAGTAGCGAGAATCCTAGGTTCACGGTTTCCTGTTGACTACCTCCAACCACTATCTTATGTCATAAACCTATCCTGATACATGACTGTAACTTGTTTTTGTACAGAACAAACTTTCCTTGAAAGTTTTTAATCAAGTATAGATAATGGGAAGAGTATGAGTTAATTAAGAATGAACCTGTTCAATTAATATTGTGTATCGTTTGACTATGAATTAAAACAATAGGAAAACTGTAATTTGACATTAAAAGCAAGATAATAGTACATAAATAAGACTTTTAATCTTAATTCTATCAAATATGAAATAATGAATAATCATGATGATGTAATAAAACATTTCTCATACTAAATTAAAAGTAATTGCTCAATAAATTTACTGAAAAGAATCTAAATTTAAGGTATTTAATGGGATACAGATATTTAACTCTAAATAGTGATAATCATAATAATATCCCCACCATTGGCTTATATCTAGCGGTAATTCCTTGAGCTCCAGCCCTACTGAATGTGAACCAATTATCTAGCAACGATATTGAAAGATGAAGCTAAGAGTTCACGCGTGAGATCGAAGGTTCCTAGTTCGAGTCTCGAGTGCGAGATCATGAATGCATACTGTTGAGTAGTCCCATACTGAGACAAAAGGACATGTCCAGTGCTTCCAAGTTTCCAATAGTGGCTTAGCTTAGATTGACTAGTGAAGTCAACTGTTGAGATACTACAATCTCCACGAATCCCCATACTGACGATCGATAGTAATTTCAAAAGGTACAAATGATCAACCTCAGTAAAAAAATTACGAAATCCGATATTTGAAAACTAAACATTGCTTACTGATCTCAAGTGAGGAATTCATTTTCTAGTATTTCGTATAGTATAGTTTTCAATCACTTTCACTATAGAATGTCAGTATGTGAAAGTCAGTGAGGATCAGTAAACAGTAGAATCCAGAACATCCATCTCTGTTTACAGTGCTTGTGACTTGTTGGCAATATCGGGGTAATCCGCACAGGATGCAAATATGTCAATAAGAGACTGATCAATTGCAGTTCAAACATCAATGGGAAGGATTTAAACAACCAATACAAAAATGAAATAAACATTGAGATTCATTTGTGGCACACACCGAGGACTTTCAAATAAAATCAACTCACGAACTTTAGGTATCATGAAAAGAATACTACTAAGCTATGGAATCAGTATTCAACAGTTTTCATTTTCACACACACCCAATCTTTCATCTAGACCAATGTACGTACAACTGCATCATATTCAAGTTAGATGAATTCACATGCAGCCAATCATAATTTCAACACCAACTAATATATCTTTACAAAAAATGGCAGTTCTCACACAATATTTGTTCACTGAGACAATCTAGTACGGATCTATTCAGTTTGAACATATATTTTACTGTTGTTAGACATAAACCAGATCAATAATTTATGTGTTCACCGAGAGATCCTGAAATTTCTATCTGGATCGGGAAAGCTTGGAATACTGAAGTTGAAGCAGAACAGTTATTAAATCTTCCAGGTTTTTGAAACATTATCCAGCTGTCTTCTTTGTGACAACCTTCGCATTCCAGAGGTACAAAATCTCCACAAGTCAACACCAGTAAAACGTTATAATGTAGTCATTATTTCACACCGAATCGATGACCAGAAATCAGTAGAACAGGGTTTACCAATTTATGCCGTATGTAAACATTTCACTTTATTTAAATGTTAGCCATTTGCGAGAAATCAACCATTACATTATTATCATACAATATTTCTATCAATGAGACATAAAGAATACATTACAAACGTCATCTCACTTCAACACTACTTACCGTCAATGAAAGAAGTTAAAACAGAGTGCTTTTATCATGACACTTTGTTCGGTAGTGTAACCATTTATGAGGACAAGGTAAATTAAAAGCGTATAACACCCTTCACATTCCCTGTACACCAATAAAATTTGTTTTACGGCAACCATTTCACAGAAGTATTTGATTGGATGTCATAAAACTCAAACTGTTGTTTCTTTAAACTACATAATATTTTTTTATTTTGACCACAAATAACTCTGTGTTAAACAATGAAGCAGAAACTAAATATTTCAAGAATAACGTGTTGTTATTCAATTTCAAAAACACAGATGATTTCAGGAATCATCTGTATTTATATGGAGAGGCTAAATGGATTCCATCTGAAATCATTTATCAGATGAAAACATTTCAAATTTGTCTTGACTGGAGACGAGATAGTGATTATAGAATAATATCCTGATCAATTCTGTATAAGTTTATAACGATGGTTCAATTATAAAGTATAAGAAGCTGCGGAATGAGTAGAGCAACACATTCACTAAAACCATGCAGAATATTTCATTCTAGACTTCATATATATCAAGTAGAATGTTCTCGTAAAAAATTACAATAATCATGTAAATACTAATACTAATACTACTAAATAATACAATTCAAATGGACTTACTTTCGCCTGTTACTCCTCGTGGAGGAGCATAGGATGCTCACCAGCACTCGTCATTCAACCTTGTCCTGGGAAATCCTGTCCAGTTGCTACTCATCCTTTTCATATCTGCTTCTAGTTCCCGACGTAATGTGTTCGTTGGCCTTCCTATTCTTCGTTTCTCTTCGGGATTCCAAGTTAGGGCTTGTCTCGTGGTGCATTTTGATGATTTCCGTAATATATGTCCTATCTACTTACAACATGTTTTCCTAATTTCCTCTTCATCTGGAAGCTGGTTTTTCTTCTCCCACAAAAGGCTGTTGCTGATGGTATCCGACTAATGGATGCTGAGTATCTTGCGTAGACAACTATTTATAAATACTTATTACCTTCTTGATGATGGTTATAGTAGTTTTCTACGTTTCAACTCCGTACAGCAAGACTGTCTTGACGTTCGTAAAGAAGATTTTGACTTTGGTGTTGGTTGGCAGTTGTTTTGAGTGCCATATGCTCTTCAATTGTAGGAATGCCGTCCTTGCTTTGCCAATCCTCATCTTTACGTCTGCATCTGATCCTCCTTGTCCATCGATGATGATTCCTAGGTACGTGAAATATTCCAAATCTTTCAGAGTTTCGCCATAAAGTGTGAATGGGTTGGTGTTCTACGTGTTGCATTTAAGGATATTGTTTTTTCCTTTGTGTATGTTAAGGCCTACTAATGCAGAGGCTGCTGCTAGATTAGTTGTCTTCATCTGCATGTGTTGGTGTGTATGGGATAGGAGGGCTAGGTCTTCTGCAAAGTTCAAATCGTCTAACTGATTCTGAGCTGTCCATTGTATTTCGTGCTTTACCTCAAATGTCGAGGTCTTCATAATCCAGTTAACCACCAGAAGAAAGAGGAAGGGGAAAGTAGACAGCCTTGTCTGACTCCGGTCCTTACTTAGAATGCATCTGTCAGCTGTCCTCCATGCATGATTTTGCACTGGACAACAACAGATATTTACGCTGACCGTGAGATTGCTAAAGTAAATCAATATCCTGATTAAAGTATGCGTAAGATTGTAACAATGGTTGGATTATAACACATGCGAATCTGTAAAAGAATTATAAATATCCAATGATCATCTATCTGTGTAGCATTTCCATTGACTTACGCTGTATTCTTATTCAAAGTAGAAAGTTCATAGAAAAGAAAATGTTGTATTTCTCATGTAGAAATTTCATACGTTTACGTTCCATTAGATATAGAGAACAAATGTCCAGTAAAAATAAACTTTAAACACAATACAATAATGAGATTGTTTCCTCAGTTGTTCAATCTCTCAAGAATTCTTTAACGAACCTCATTGTCTCGAAAAAAATTATATTGAATGAATATATTTGTTTTAAGTAGAGTGAATTTACTTTTCACAAATTCCCTCTTACACTGTTTAAATAGAGATGTATGCCATTATCGAATATCAGTAAATAGTCAGTAAACAGCTATGGTGTTTAAATGAAAGAGAGGAAGCACATTTGAGCTATTTTCACTGAGGTGATTTGTTTTGGCTACTTGTCAAGTATTTGTATAGAACATTATTGCGTTCTTTTCGAAGAATGTCTATTTACAAGATGAGTAATAAAATGATGAGGCACATTTGTAGAGAAGATAGTATACGTAATTAGTGTCGGGTTCTCTGTGCTGGTTGGTTTAGTATTGGGACACTAATGACCATTGCGAATAATATTGATCTCTTCATCAAATACAAGTGACTGGTTAACAATTCATGGGAAATCCTATTCCACCACTAATGTTTGGAATGCTCTTCTCTCCCTCTAAATGCAAGTTTTTGCGTCAGGACTGGTCTGCGTCAACACCTGAACTAAGGGTAGGGAGTGAAGTAGTCCAACTCGTTGACAACTTTACTTATCTTAGAAGTCTGATCAACCCTAATGGGTTGGTGTCTGACGAAATCTCCACGGATTCGAAAAGCTCGATTGGCTTTTGCCAACTTACGTCACCTATAGCGAAGGCGAGATATCTGTCTATCAATAAAAGAACGAGTATACTGCGCGGCAGTCCGTTCTGTTTCACTTTATGGCAGCAAAACATAGCCTTTAAGAGTAGAAGATACTCGTAAGTTACTAGTATTTGATCACAGATGCCTTAGAAATATTGCTGGCGTCTGTTGGGATCACCGGGTAAGTAATAGTGAGGTTAGACGCAGAGTATTAGGGAATGATGGTAAATCAGTTGATGAGGTTGTGAATCTTCATCGACTGAGATGGTTGGGCCACGTGTTACGTATGCCTGAACACCGATTACCACGACGTGCAATGCTGACCGGTGTTCAGGATGGTTGGAAGAAAGTTAGGGGCAGCCAAACCAAAACGTGGTATCAGTGCTTGAAGTCACTAACTTCTAGTCTGAGCCATGTTGGTAGATGCAGACTACTTGGTTGGGGTCCGCGTGACTGACGTAACCAATGGTTGGAGACTCTTGGTGACATGGCTCAGAGTCGATCACAATGGCGTCGGTGTATACACTCTCTGTCTTCCCTTAAACCAAGAGATTAAAATCGCTTCATGTCTTTCTTTCTACGAACTAATTCTTCCTTCCTGTACCATATCCTTATTGCAATCTTTCTTTTATATATTACCACCTCTGAATTAACTACTTTTATGAATCCGGTGTCCATCTTGTTGTGTTAATGAGGTATGGCAACTTGGACCGATGCATATATGTGCCTGGTCCTACGTTGTAGCTGACTGACTGATTAATGAAGAATGATGGCTGACCATATCTTTTACGTGATGATAATGATTCGCTAAAGTATTCGAGATCCATGTAACTGTCTCAAAAGAAACTTTTCATCATTAATCGACTTGTCAAACAATTTGTCACGTTAATCAAAATTCAATCTCAGTCAGTACTCATTAAATTCCGTTGATATTACTTTATAATTGAAATACCAAGTACTAACCTATGCACTCTTTTTTTAGCTAAACCGTTCTCATAATGCTACGTTAAATACGGACAGCACAAAACACTAAATCGGTCCTCATCAGAACACAATATTAAACAATGGTTATTACAGTAAATTTGAACAGTGGCTAGTGGTGTAGTACATGACGCTGTTAAACTATCAAAGCTTATATATCCAAACAGTCATTTTGTATACGGCATTAGTTACAATTTTTGGTTAATTGAATGTAGCTGTCTTTTATTCATGTTTGACGTTTAGTAATATTCTTATTGTATTTTGAACGAAAGCCTTTAACATTTTGTCTGGGACATTACTATGCACGATCTAATGTACTCATAGGTATGACTTATCATAGAACATACATTTGAATCTTCCTCATTCATTTATTCGACCGAATCTGATTAGATATAAAAAGAAATTGGTGAATATTCGTATAGTGTTTTACTAGTGTGTTCAAAATCAGCCATTAATTTTCCATAAATGGATCCTTCATTCTTCAACGATTCCTTTAGATTATGTTGTTAATTCTTAATTTTAAAACAAAATATTATTTCTCGAAACATTTCAACAGCTATGTGTTAAATGGTTCAATTTATTGCAATCGGTTAATGAAACTTCAGGTAGTATTACGGTTCATATTGTACTGCAGCTAACCAAACTCATTTGAAATGTGCATACCTTAACTCAAATGACAAAACAATACACCAATTAGTGAATATATTTGTTTTCTGTTTCATTCTGACGTTCGGATATATAATTTAACAAGATCATGTTTGCGAACAGTAATTATCGATTGATTCAAGTTGTCTCGGTCATCGTATAGTGAACGTGATCGACAGTAATCAGTTAGCACTGAGATGTATTTGAGTGTGAAGTGGTTAGTTTCGACTTATTCATTAGTACGTTTCATACATTGTCAGTTATTGATGGTAACCTGTAACACATAGTTAACACATCTCAAAACAAGACTGTGGTGGAAGAGTTTTTGAATCTCCATGGAAAATTAATTTTCTTGGGAATTAAAACACACGTACTGATATGTAAGTCTTTATGTGAATGAACCATCAAAACCCACTTACTACTATACAAGAAAAATAAATGCCATCAAAGAAAAATTATTCTCAACCAAGTCACCGAAATCTCTTCTTTGTATATCCTACGTAAACTTAGCTCATATGAAGAATAAAAATGACTTAAACGAAGTGTTTCATTCAGATAATGAAATGTTGAAAATTTATCACTGAATCTGTCTAAATGGCAACATTTCAAAATATAATATTTTATTAAATATAATCAAAAAATATTGAGGTGATCTTGTAATGAATGAGAACACAAGTGGGGACAATCGAATGTATTTGAATAAAAAATTACAGAATCACTTAGTAAAATATAAGAATCATTTGCATTATGTCAATCAATTGTCTCAAACTTTATTAGTATCAGAAGGGGTTTTGTGAAGATTGCAGTAATTTCAATAGCTAAGATCATGGGTTAATTGAAGCTAGACCATAATGAAAAACCTGGAAGCACTGTACGGCCGTTTCGTCGTATTACGGGACTCCTCAGCAGTACGCATCCACGATCCAACCACGCGGGATTCCAATTCAGGACCTATCAGTCTCGCGCGCAAGCGCTTAATTTTTAGACTACTGAGACGGCTGGCATCCAACGGTATTATTGTCTAACTTCAAGTAGTCCACGAAATCAAACAACACATCCACCATTGTCTTCAGTGAGTTACTATCTCACAACTAACCCGGTTGAACTCCACTGATCATTGCTTCTCACTAGAACTCCAGGATATACCTCTGGAAACCAGTCACTAGGGAGCATATGTTGATTAGTATCAGAACTATATTTTGTAGAGATTGTAGTCAATTTATTAGTTCAGATCATGAGTCAATTGAAGCTAAACCACCATGGAAAACCTGGAAGCAATTCCAGGTTTGAAATCAGACTTTATTGTTCCTTTGTTTCTACACCAATCATTCACTGTTCTTGTTCTCTTCTTTTCGATCTTTCTTTTAATCTTCTACCACGAAGTATTTCATTTTTAATTAATGATACATACTACTTATATCTGTTGATATCAATAATATACATCACAATCTAATGAAATAAATTCATTAGGTTTTAATATAGATCATGTTATATCATTGTATTGAAGAGTTAAATTTTATTCATTTCTTTTGTATATATATATACTTATCATTCTGATTAACAAGATCATTTGACTAAGATGAAAAATAATATCGATTTCTTTTTGTTATTAATTAACTTAATTCTTATTTAAATTTTTATTTGACCCTAGTTAACAACCCACATTCAGATAAAAAATAATCCATTCAATGAAAGCAAAGATTCTTGTTAAGTGCATTAACAACAAAGAAATTAATTCCAGTTCCATTAGTGTATTCCAAAAAGCAGAATGTTAAAATTATCTCATTGACTGAATTATCTTATAAATACAACAATAATAAAACTCAAGTTAAATATGAGGAAATCAAATCTATATTTAAATGAATCTTCTCAAGATCAAATATTAAAAAACAATAAGCAAATAACTAAAACTTATATCATTCATCATAAATATACAATATGGATGAATTATACTTAACTACAATTGATGTTGGACAATCTAATAAAGAATATCAAATTAAAACTGTCAATAGAATAGATAATAATCAATTAAATTTAGTAACTATGAATGAAATAAATCAATATCATTCAATGATATTTAATCCATATATACAATCAATCAATAAAGTAACCATATTGAATTTACAATACCCTAAAATACAAATACAGAAACGATTATTAAATATTTTACAACATTTATTATTAATTTTCACCTTTTTACAATTTTGTATCATTATTTATTTAATTAATCAGTATGATATATATTTAAGATTAAGATCACCATTAAATGATTTACCAAATTATACAGCTACACGAATACCATGGATACCTGAACAATATAAATTAAAAAATCAAATGAATATAATTTGGTGGTCAATTTTTATGATTTATATGCCATTAGTGATAATATTTTGTAAATATTACTTAGAGTTTAATGAAAATGAGTAAGTAGTACTTTTCTTTTTTATCAACTTTTTATTGTATAAGTGGTAAGATTATAATTTATGAATGAACCAATCTAATATAAGATAAAAGATCTTGGATTTTGATGTGAAATCCACTCATCCATTTGGTTAAATAGAGTTTTACGATTATAGCTGATGATGAAAACCATAAGTATGATTCCAAACCTTAATCATCAACTGTAAATCATAATT